ACGTAGTAGAGGGGAGAAACAAAGCTTTGATTTCTTGAGCTGGCAATGGCGGCTTTGGCGAGGCCCGAGATTCTGGGACGAGCAGTGGTAGCGGGCGCCTTGCCAGTCGCCGGAAGGAGCAGTAGATCATCCACAGTCCAGGCACTGCTAAAGAAGAAGAAGGCCGCCAAGCCCAAGGCCAAAGCGCCAGCTCCAGCCAACGATGAGCTCGCGAAGTGGTATGGTGAGTTCCTTCCAAGAGCCCTAACATCTACATTGCTGGAAATCTCTTCTCTCCATTGCCCAAGTCCATCGCAATTCTTGGGAGATTTAAATCTTTGGCATTGGATTTTCCAGGGGAGTCGAGAAGGATCTATCTCCCCGAGGGAATTCTCGATCGATCGGACGTGCCAGAGTACTTGACAGGAGAAGTTCCTGGAGAGTAAGTTCTTCTTTGCGTTCCATGAAAGGCTTGAGATCCAAACGTAGCTCTTTCTTCTCGCAGCTATGGCTTTGATCCATTTGGACTGAGCAAGAAGCCAGCGGACTTCGACAAGTAAGAAACATCCATGCAAATCGTTCCTTCTTTTCGATTGATCTTTGTTCTTCTAGATATCAAGCCTACGAACTCATCCACGCTCGATGGGCGATGCTCGGCGCTGCTGGATTTGTTATTCCCGAGGCTTTCAACAAGTTTGGAGCACAGTGTGGCCCCGAGGCAGTGTGGTTCAAGGTTTGTTCTAGCAAACTTTCTCGAGAGCTTTTAGATCTTTGCTTTTATCCTCTAGACTGGAGCACTGCTTCTCGACGGTGGCACGCTGAATTACTTCGGAGCAAACATTCCAATCAACCTCGTCCTGGCTGTCCTTGCCGAGGTGATCCTTGTTGGAGGAGCTGAGTACTACAGATCGATAAACAACCTGGTAAGAAACCAAAGTTCTTTAGAAAGTTTTTGAAACAACTTGGGAGAACCTGGCAGGGATTGGACAGGCTCCACCCGGGAGGTCCATTCGATCCTTTGGGCCTCGCAAAGGACCCAGACAACTTCGCTCTACTCAAAGTAAAGGAGATTAAAAACGGGAGATTGGCAATGTTTGCAATGCTGGGATTTTTCATCCAAGCTTACGCGACTGGCGAGGGTCCCGTGGAGAACTTGACGACTCATCTCAGTGATCCTTTCGGCAACAATCTGCTGTCCGTGATCGCTGGAGGAATCGAGAAATGAGAGACCGAAAAAGAGCCAAGAAAAAAAAAGGAAAGAGCTTACGCACGGAGCTTTAGCTTGTAACCTCTACTGTGTCACGGCCTTCGAGGAAGAAAAATTGTCCGGGCTCACAACCCTCCCAAAAACTCGCAAAGATCGAAATGCCGCGCTGATTGAGGACTCCGCCAAGTTCCCAGAGCTCACGCTCTGGCTCGTCGATCCTCCGGAAGAAGAAGGAAGGACCGCCGACAAGTTCTCCAAGAACTCTGGAACCTTGACCGCTCCCGTGAGCATGAGCCACACAGCCTGCATCTTTGGACGCAGCGCCGCCGAGCGTTGCGTGCAAAGGATGGCGATGCTGGCCATGTCCCTGGCTTCCTCCGCCACAAAGTCCCCATGTAGCTTCCTGTCCACGATGTCCAGCAAGTTATCTGGGATCTCGGCCTCCTTGTGAGCCCAGTCCACAAGAACGATCTGTTCCGAGGGAGCCGAGAGCTCCACTGCACGCCTCCCGCTCAAGAGCTCCAGCAACACCACCCCAAAGCTGTATACGTCAACTTTGTCCGAGAGCTGGAGGTGCATGGCGTATTCTACGAGAAGATCAAAACAGAAATATCAAGCACAATCCAAAGAGAAGAGAAACTCAAGCTTACCTGGTGCTAGATATCCGGCCGTGCCTTTCAATCTCGTCGCCGTAACATGAGACTCCTTCTCGTCGTACAGCCTTGCTAGCCCAAAGTCTGCGAGCCGGGGATTGAAATCCTCGTCGAGAAGGATGTTGCCGGGCTTCACGTCCAAGTGTATGATACTCGGCTTGGACTCGTCGTGCAAGTAGGCAAGCCCACAAGCAACTCCAATCGCGACCGCTCTTCTAGCCTCCCAGCTCAGAGCATTCTCACGCCGACGAAACAGCCACTTATCCAAGCTCCCATTGGGAATAAACTCGCAGACGAGCATCGGGACGTCCGACTCAAGAGAGTAGCCAATCACTGCCAGCAAGTTCCGGTGGCGGACTTTGCTGATGATGGAAATCTCTCGCTTGAAATCATCCTCAATCTGTTGAGTGTGCTTGACCAGCTGTTTCACAGCGATAACAGTCCCGCTTGGGAGTGTCCCCTTGTACACAGCTCCAAATCCTCCTTCCCCGAGCTTGTCACTGAAACCTTGAGTAGCATCATGGAGCTCCTGGTACGTAAAAATGCCAGCATCCAGGAAAGAGGCTTGCTGGTCTGTAGAACGCCTTGATGTAGTCGAAGCTGCTCTGCCAGCCCGCTTGCCTTTGCCTCTACGGGATATATACACAAGGAACCCTATGAGGACGAGTAAGGCTACTCCACTTCCAAGTGCTATACCCGCTATCTGGCCCGAGCTCAAAGACGTTGAGTTTCCTACCTCGCCCCTGTAGTCGACCGAAACGACTGAGATTGCCGAGACAATCGGGCCGGAGTTTCTCAACGTCCATGGACCAATATCCAAGTACCTGTCCCGACCCCTGTAAACCAGCTCGACCGAAACACTGCCACTGTTGTTGATGGTGATGTTACGACTCATCACGTACGCTGCTCGAGCTCCAGCTTCTCTCGCAATGTCCAGGTTCTCCAACACAACTCTTCCTTGGAGGACAACGTCGAAGATCCTGTATCCCGGCTCCGTGAACACGAGCTCGGCAAAGTAGAGCATCACTGTATAGTTCCCTGGTCTTAGAGAATACCCGTGATATGCGATGTACGAGGAAGACCAACGCATGCTTCGGTAGAGCTCCTGCTCTGTATTCCCAGCACCGGTCATATTGATGAAGCCTTGGAACGGAAGTGTACCACCTTCACTTCCGGAAACCTCTAAAGCCCATAAACCTGGTCCCGATCCATAGAAAAATCCCACGCTCTGATTGTTTGGATTTGCGTCCGAATCGAATGCTACCTGGACCGTGCTGCCTGTAGTGCTGCTTAAACCATTGCCACCAGCATTGACAGCGAAGAAAAGCCTTTCACCAGGAGGCGAGCTGGAGCAAGTCCCAGACGAACCAGAAGGGACGCAGTTGAAGTAAGCGTTCGAGCCGAGATTTGGCTGCTGCGGAACGGGTGTTGGAGCGCTAGAGATGTTGAAAAAATTGAAGGAAACATCCAACTGTGTGAGCTGAGTGTTCCCTCCTAGAGACTGTAAGGACCCGGCGAGCATGTTGTGTGAGATATCCAGTTGAGCCAACGCAGGAAAAGAACCAAAGTTGTCCGGAATGCTGCCATTGAGCCTGTTGTGACCGATGAACAAGCTTGTCAAGGAAGAAAGACCTCCAAGAGAACCCGGCAATGGCCCCGAGAATTCATTGAATCCCAAGTCGACCGTGCTCAACCTCGAGTCGAGGCCAAAGTCCGGGACAGGACCGCTAAACCTGTTGTGCCTCAAGTTCAAATCCGTGAGAGAAGTCATGCCTTGCAAGACTGACGAGCTGACACCTCCAGAGAGCTCATTGTTGAAAAGCCTGAAGGTTTGCAAGTTGGTAAGGTCGCCATAGCTATCAGGAATACTTCCAGTAAGCCTGTTTACCTGAAGCGAGAGCTCGACTAAGTTACTCAGCTGGCCTATCTCTTCGGGAAGATCACCCTCGAGCGCATTGCTCCGGAGGTTGAGATTCGTGAGGTTGCTCAGCCTTCCCAGAGACGCAGGAATGGGACCCGAGATGTTTGTGGTATCCAAAAAAAGCTGCTGGAGACTTCTCAATTCGCCTAGCTCTTCGGGAATGCTCCCGTTGAATCTGTTGTCGCCAATCCTGAGGATTTGCAGGCCGCTCAATCTGCTGCCAATGCATCCTGGAATTTGACCACTCAGACGCTGCAAGCCCAGGTCCAAAATCCTCAGAGACGTAAGGTTGCACAGAGCTTCCGGAAGAGTGCCATTGAGCAGCTGGTTGCCAAAGAGATCAGACCGGAGGATCAAAGCCGAGACTTGAGCGTCTGCTGTCCGCTCGCACGGTGTCAGCGGTGGTGTCGGCGGATAGATTTGCGGGAATGCGCAGCATAGAGCGTCTGAGTTGTTCCTGCAGCAGCCTACGCCTGTCCATCCCCCTACACACGGATCCGTGGAGAAGTTCCATGTCCCTGGAGCAATGCCCAGCACTGAAGCTGCTGCAATCAAGCTTGTAGTCTCCAAAACACTTGCCCCGTCCGTGATGCGAAGAAACCAGATGGGCAGAATCGTCGAAAGCCATGATACGCTTCTCCACATCGCTCTTGGCAGAACATCTCTTCTGCTACTAAGTTGATCCCGATCTTGCGCTTATCTCTGCTTCAATCTTTACACGGTACTTTTGTCCGCTGCCATTGTCTTCCATACACATCAGCAAGGGCCAGCGTGACGGTCTTCGCTGGCGTCCTCGAATTACACTGGAAAACACAATCAATTAACGTGATAGAATAGGACTCACTGACCTGTGTGTTTCTTGACTCGCAAATCAGACCCCACAAGAGCTGCTTATCCTATACGTTGTTGGCCGGTCCCTTTCCTCAGTGCCAGTAGAAATTGCAAGAGCTCTCGCTGGCTGACGGACTTGACTTCTACGTTCTCGGCTGCTGAGCTCAAAACGTGTGAAACTTTTCATTGATATCCTTGTCCCTTTCGAAATCCCGAGACGAGCAACTTCTGTCGGCGGAGTCCATAGCGAGCTCCTGCAAAGTCCACCAGATATGGTCCCCAGGAATAACTACGCCAAGAGTTCATACCTTTTGCATTGACACCGTATTTTCGGCAAGGAGAGACGAGTTGATAGCTTGTGCTTGCCCATGCTTGGAACCTTCTTCTGATCGCAAGCTGATAGCGAGTATTGTACCATCCAATCAATCGCTTCTCATGGAAACTGGCGTGAGAAATAACACTTCCTGCTTGATCCATGGACTTCTATCGAGGGCTAAACCCTTAGCTTGTAGCCTCTACTGTGTCACGGCCTTCGAGGAAGAAAAGCTCTCCGGACTCGCAACCCTCCCAAAGACTCGCAAAGATCTAAATGCCGCGATTGACGTCTCCGACAAGTTCCCAGAACTCAAGGTCTGGCTCGTCGATCCTCCGGAAGAAGAAGGGATGACTGCCGTCAAGTTCTCCAAGAACTCTGGAACCTTGACCGCGCCCGTGAGCATGAGCCACACTGCCTGCATCTTTGGACGCAGCGCCGGCGAGCGTTGCGTGCAAAGGATGGCGATGCTGGCCATGTCCCTGGCCTCCTGCTCCACAAAGCCCCCCTGGAGCTTCCTGTCCACGATGTCCAGCAAGTTCGCTGGGATCTCGGCCTCCTTGTGAGCCCAGTCCACAAGAACGATCTGTTCCGAGGGAGCCGAGAGCTCCACAGCGCGCCTCCCGCTCAAGAGCTCCAGCAACACCACCCCAAAGCTGTATACGTCAACTTTGTCCGAGAGCTGGAGTTGCATGGCGTATTCTACGAGAACATGAAAAGAAAAAAATCAAGTACAATCCAAAGAGAAGAGAAACTCAAGCTTACCTGGTGCTAGATAGCCTGCCGTGCCTTTCAATCTCGTCGCTGTGACATGAGACTCCCTCTCGTCGTACAGCCTTGCCAGTCCAAAGTCTGCGAGCCGGGGATTGAAATCCTCGTCGAGAAGGATGTTGGCGGGCTTCACATCGCAGTGTATGATCCTCAGGTTGGACTCGTCATGCAAGTAGGCAAGCCCACAAGAAACTCCGATCGCGATCGCTCTTCTAGCCTCCCAGCTCAAAGCACTCTCACGCAGACGAAATAGCCACTTATCCAAGCTCCCATTGGGAATAAACTCGCAGACGAGCATCGGGACGTCCGACTCAAGAGAGTAGCCAATCACTGCCAGCAAGTTCCGGTGGCGGACTTTGCTGATGATGGAAATTTCTCGCTTGAAATCCTCCTCAACCTGTTGAGAGTGCTTGACGAGCTGTTTCACAGCGATAACAGTCCCGTTTGGGAGTGTCCCCTTGTACACAGCTCCAAATCCTCCTTCTCCGAGCTTATCACTGAAGCCTCCTGTAGCGTCATGGAGCTTTTGGTATGTGAAAATGCCCCCAGCATCCAGGAGAGAGGCTTGCTGGTTTGTAGGACCATTCGTTGTAGTCGAAGCTGCTACCCCAGCACGCTTGCCTTTGCATATATACACTAGCAACGCTACGAGAATGAGCAAGGCTGCTCCACTTCCAAGTGCTGTTCCGGCTATCTGGCCCGAGCTCAAAGATGCCGAGTTCCCTCCCTCGCCCCTGTAGTCGACTGAAACGACTGAGATTGCCGAGACAATCGGGCCGGGGTTTCTCACTGCCCAGGGACCGAGATTTAATGAGAATCTGTCTCGACCCTTGTAAACCAGCTCGACCGAAACGCTGCCACTGTTGTTAATGGTGATGTTACGACTCATCACGTACGCTGCTCGAGCTCCAGCTTCTCTAGCAATGTCCAGGTTCTCCCACACAACTCTTCCTTGGAGGACAACGTCGAAGATCCTGTATCCCGGCTCCGTGAACACAAGCTCGGCAAAGTAGAGCATCACTGTATAGTTCCCTGGTCTTAGAGAATAACCGTGATATGCGATGTAAGAGGAAGACCAACGCATGCTTCGGTAGAGCCCCTCCTCCGTACCCCCAGCACCGGTCACATTGATGAAGCCTTCGAACGCAAGTGGACCACCTTCACTGCCCGAAACTTCTAAAGCCCATAAACCTGGTCCTGATCCATAGAAAAATCCCACGCTCTGATTGTTTGAATTTGCGTCCGAATCGAATGCTACCTGGACCCTGCTGCCTGTAGTGCTGCTTAAAGCATTGCCACCGGCATTGACAGCGAAGAAAGGCCTTCCACCGGGAGGCGAGCTGGAGCAAGTGCCAGAAGAACCGGAAGGGACGCAGTTGAAGTAAGCGTTGAGGTTTGGCTGCTGCGGGACGGATGCTGGAGCGCTAGAGATGTTGAAAAAGTTGAAGGAAACATCTAACTGTGTGAGCTGAGTGTTCCCTCCTAGAGACTGTAAGGACCCGGTGAGCATGTTGTGTGAGATATCCAGTTGAGCCAACGCAGGTAAAGAACCAAAGCTGTCCGGAATACTGCCATTGAGCCTGTTGTGATCGATGAACAAGCTTGTCAAGGAAGAAAGACCTCCAAGAGAACCCGGCAGTGGCCCCGAGAATTCATTGAATCCCAAGTCGACCGTGCTCAAGCTGAACCCGACGCCAAAATCCGGGATAGGACCGCTGAACCTGTTGTGTCTCAAGCTCACATACGTGAGAGAAGTCATGCCTTGGAAGACCGACGAGCTGATACCTCCAGAGAGCTCATTGTTGAAAAGCCTCAAGGTTCGCAAGTTGGCAAGGTTGCCATAGCTGTCAGGAATACGTCCAGTAAGCCTGTTTCCCTGAAGCGAGAGCGCGACTAAGTTACTCAGCTGGCCGATCTCCTCGGGAAGATCACCTTCAAGCGCATTGTTCCAGAGGTTGAGACTGGTGAGGTTGCTCAGCCTTCCCAGAGACGCAGGAATGGGACCCGAGATATTTGTTGTATCCAAAAAAAGCTGCTGAAGACTTCTCAATTCGCCTAGCTCTTCGGGAATGCTGCCACTGAATCTGTTCTCACCCATACGGAGGATTTGCAGGCTGCTCAATCTGCTGCCAATGCATCCTGGAACTTGTCCACGCAGACGTTGGAAGCCCAGGTCCAGAATCCTCAGAGACGTAAGGTTGCACAGAGCTTCCGGAAGTGTTCCGTTGAGGAGCTGGTTGCCGAAGAGATCAGACCGGAGGATCAAAGCCGAGACTTGAGCGTCTGCTGTCCGCTCGCACGGTGTCAGCGGTGGTGTCGCTGGATAGATTTGCGGGAATGCGCAGCACAGAGCCCGTGAGTTGTTCCTGCAGCAGCCTACACCTGTCCATCCCCCTACACACGGATCCGTGGAGAAGTTCCATGTCCCTGGAGCAATGCCCAGCACTGAAGCTGCTGCAATCAAGCTTGTAGTCTCCAAAACACTTGCCGCGTCTGTGATTCGAAGAAACCAAATGGACACAATCGTCCATGATACGCTTCCCCACATCGCTGATTACATCCATCTTCTTCTGCTAAGTTGATCCTCCTTTTTACGCTCATCTCTGCTGCTACTGTTAATTTTTGCGGTACGTCAGCAAAGGCCCCTGTGACGTTCGTTGCTCGCTTACTCGGATTTCCACCTGAAAGACGAATCAATTAACGTGATTGAGTAGAACTCCAAGCACTCACCTGTATTTCTTGACTCGCAAATCAAACACTGCTTATCCTGGTTGGCTGATACAGCGCACAGGTTGCTGGCTGGTTCCTGTTCCGAATACCAGTAGAAAATGGAAGAGCTCGCCGGGATTGACTTCTATTCGGCTGCTGTGCTCAAAAAGAGTGCCTTTTCAGGTCCCTTTGAGACAACTTATCCATTTTCTATATGTCCTTCTGTTGCGGCGGAGTCCCACAGCGTCGTTGCACGGAAACTCCTGAAAGAGAGTCGAGTAAATCGATGGTCCCAACTACACTAAGTAGAACTAGTTCATACCTTCTGCAACTTTTCGGCAGCGTTGATAGCTTGTCATGCTTGGAAACTTCTTCTGATCGTTCACATCCAGTAGCTTGCGAAACTTCTGGTTTCATTGTGTCAAAAACTATCAATCAAATCGCTTCTCAAGACTGAACAAGGTAAGTGAGAACTCCTGTTTGATCCATACCACTTCTATCGCGGGCTGAGAAGAACAGCCTCAGCGCAATCACTCGTTGCTTGCGATCGCTCGTAAGCACTCATGAGCGCCCTGACGGCATTATACCTGGTGTCCAGCATCGCGGGAATGTCTGGAATCTCCATCGTGCCCTTGAGCATGAGCCACACGGCCCGCATTCTCGGCCGCAGCGATGGATTCTCGAGCGTGCACAGCACAGCGACCCTAGCCATATCTACAACCTCTGCCACGCTAATCTCCCCTCCCTCCCCCTCCAGCTTCTTATCCAGCAGCGTCACAAGCTCCAGCGTCGAGATCGACGCCAAGCTCTGCGCAAAATCCACCAAAACCACCTCCTCGCGAGGCGCCGCGCTATCGATCGCCCGCCGGCCGCTGATAATCTCCAGCAGCACCACGCCATAGCTGTAGACATCCGCCTTGTCGGAGAGCTGGTAGTGCATCGCGTACTCTGCGAGAGAAGAATTATCAATAAACCCTAGCTCAAGAATCCTACAAATCAGTTCTTTCTTCTTACCTGGGGCGAGGTAGCCGATCGTCCCTCCCATTTTTGTGGCCGTGACGTGCGATTTCCCCTCCTCGTACAGCCTCGCCATGCCGAAATCCGCGATGCGCGGCATCATATCGTCGTCCAGGAGGATGTTTGGCGGTTTGAGGTCGCAGTGGATGATCCGGTGCTTGGATTCATCGTGGAGGTACGCCAGGCCAAATGCGGTGTCGATCGCGATCTTCCGGCGCTGATTCCAGGTGAGAAATCCCCTGCTCCCGTGTAGGAACTGGTCTAGGCTTCCATTGCGCATGTAGTCGCATACCAGCATTGGATGCTCGGCCTCGAGGCAGTATCCTCTCACTGCCACGAGATTCCTGTGCTGGACGCTGCTTAGAATCCGGATTTCTTTCCGGAAAGCCTCCCGGCCTTGCTGGGTTTGATGGAGGAGTTGCTTGACTGCCACGAGAGTTTGGTCTTGCAAGTTCCCCACGTAGACGCTGCCGAATCCTCCTTGCCCGAGCTTCTTCGTTGGATTGAATCCATCGGTTGCCTCGTAGAGTTCCTTGTAGCTGTAGACTTTGATCCCAACGGTGTCACTGTAGATAGAAAAACTCTTTGCCCGAAAGTTCTTCCTGGATCTCTTGCAAAAGAAGATGGCGACGATGATGATAACTGCGATGGCAGCAGCTGCTGCGGAGACTGACGCTGCTACTGCTACCTTCCAGGTTCTCGAGGAATTACTGCCCAGAGAGTCTACGTGATCGAAGGATCTTACCGAGATAGCAGACACCATTGCTCCAGATTGTGGCGCGAGTCGGAAGATGTTTGGATTGATGTAGCGGTCGGGCCCGGTGAAGATGAACTCGATGGACAAGCTTCCATCAGTGACCGTGGCGTTCCTGGTGATCTTGTACGCTGTCCGGGGTCCAACTTCTCTCACAACGTCGAGCTGCCTAGCGATCACTTCACCTTGAACCACGACGTCCATGGCTCGATAGCTCGCGTTGGTGAAGACAGTCTCGCAAAAGTACAGTGAGACGCTGTAAGTTCCAGGAGCCAGGTTGCCACCATGGTAGGCAAGATAGGAAGATGACCACCTCATGGTTTGATAAAGAGAGGGATCGTCCTCGGGAGGTACTCCACTGATCGTTGCTGGGACTGTCACCGTGCTGCTGAATTCACTCGAGAGTTCCAGCGCCCAGTTTCTGTCAGCTTCCAAGTAGTGGAGACCTGTGGAGTTTCGTGCAAAACCGTCACTGCGAAAGAGAGTACCGTCCCTGTTCGTCAAGTTCTGGGAGCTACCTACGCGAACCGCGAATGAAGTGGATCTTCCAGGCAGTGACCGGTTGCATGATAGTCCGGGAGCGATGCAGTTGAAGTATCCTTGCCCGTTTCCACCAGCTGAAGAAGAGACCGAGTTCAGGGAATTGAAGGAGAAGTCGACTTGCAGCTGCTGTGGTAGATTCGGCAAGGAGCCACTGAGAGAATTGTGGGAGACATCCAGAACCTGGAGAGCCGGCGGAGGTGAAGAAGGAATGGCTCCCGAAAGATTGTTGTGGCCGAGGAAGAGATGTGTGAGAGAAGGGAGTCTAACCAGGGAGCCTGGAATGCCGCGGGAGAGCTGGTTGAAGCTCAAGTCGAGATGAGTTAGATTGACAAATCTTTCATCGAGCTCAGGTATGCCACCCGTGAAGTTGTTTAACTTGAGATTCAACACCCTGAGGCTGGACAGGTTCCGGAAGATGGACAGGCTCAAGTTCCCGGAAAAATGGTTGTTAAAGGCTGTCAAAATCTCGAGGCGTGTCAAGCTGGCCACGGCCTCGATGCCACCTTCCAAGCTGTTCACTTGAATTCCCAGCTCCACGAGGTTAGTCAACCTTCCCAGCTCCAATGGAATCCTTCCTGATAATCTATTGTATCTAATATCCAGCTGCTGGAGGCTTGTCATACCTCCGAAAGAGCTTGGGATTGGCCCTGTCAAGTTGGTGTTATCCAGATAAAGCTGCTCCAAGCTGCTCAAGCTCCCGAGCTCCTCCGGAATGGTTCCGAGGTTCCCTGCACCTCCAGCCATCCCGAGCCTCTTGAGCCGTGTCAGCCGGATTCCGATGCAGCGAGGAATCGGGCCTTGTAAGTTGTTGTTGTTGAGATCCAGAGTAACCAATGACGTCAAATTACAGACGGAATCGGGGAGAGAACCACTCAACACTCGCATGATGAAATTGGAGTCGAGAGACACTCCGACGATGGTGGACGAGTTTGCGGAGGAGGAGTCTGGACAAGGGGTGCTTACAGGCGGAAACGGATTGTAGATGGAGGAACAGCAGGTAGAGTTCAGTCGTTGTGCGTTGCAGCAGCTGATTCCCCTCCATCTTCCACTGCAGGGATCCGTGCTCGTGTTCCAGACCGTGGCCGGCACTCCTAGGGCGGAGGCAATGTCTCTGATAGCCGAGATCTCCGCTGTAGACGCTGCCAGAAGCGAATCCAGGAACATCCACTGTAAGGCGACAAACATCAAAGCTCTTGCCATGGGAAAGAGTGAGAATGGATGAGGAAGAAGGAAGAGGTGAGTGCCTATCATTTCTAGAATCCGCGTTCCATTACTCTACTCTGAACTGTAGCAGGAAGACTGTCAAACTTGACGTCGCCAAAACCTTTGTCAAGATAATGAAACGTCATTGGAAGACAAAGAGGAATATTCAGCCAAGGATTTGGTGACATAAAGAAGGCTACTGCTACTGTTCATACAGGTAACAAAAACTTTTTCTTCTCGCTTATCAACGATTATAAGGGTGTCGAGGTATGATGGATCGGCGATGTTTCGGCTTGTAAGGAAGATTTCGAGCTCTGGCGCTGGAAGTATGGACATAGAAGGCAAGAAACTCGACATGCCTCGACGTTCACAGGGCGGACTGAAAACTCCACGACGCTCTTGGGCTGTTTTGAGGCCTCCCGAAGTTTGATCGCTTGTCCAGATCGCCTTGGACTTGAAGAATGGCAGGGAGCCATCGTTATCTTCCATTGAATGAGCAGAGCTCCAAGCAACCTGCACCAGTCGATCTTCTAGACAGAGTCACTTGGAAGAAGCCAAGATAATGGTCACAAGAATCGGATCGAAACTTGTTCCAGAGATCGGACACTTGACAGCGCTGAGGTCGACGAGAAAGCGGACGTCCTTGTGGAGCGGAGGGATTTTCCAAAAGACAGCATCGGCACTGGGCAGTGATCACTCACACCTCGCAAACATCTGAGCAAGAGCGGTGGCAAGCTTTTGACTTCGCTTCTCAAATTTGCGTGCTAAAAAGGAGGATTGGTCATGAAACTTTTTAAGGGTGATGAAAGTCTTTCTCTTCCACTAGAGTGTAGGAAAGAGGAACAAAATGGAGTTGAGCAGAAGAGGCAGAAAAGCACAATTAAATTGCAATCCATTCAAGCCACTCTCTAGGTTTGAGGTATTTACAGTTGTGAGTTTCTACGATGCAGATAGAGTTGTGATAAAGGACGTACGGAGTAAGACCGTACGGGAATAAAAGGAGAGAGAGAGAGACTAGTATTGCCCAGGCTGAAAGATAGATCAGAGCTTGCATGCACTTGCATGCGTACAGGACTTCATGAACTGCCCTGGGACGCTGAGGGGGAGGGCGTGATTTCCTGTACTGGCGTCAACTCGCTCCAAAACCGACCATATCTCTAACAGACAGTTTCAAGAAATTTGCTCTTTGCCGCTTGCAAGGAAACGAAAGACAAGAGCGATGCCGGCCCCAAGACAACGGAATGCTCTTGATGCGCACATAGTAGCAATCCTCCCAACATTCAGAGGAGACTTGGTGCATGTGGAAAGTGTAAAATCCTTTCTAGCAGCGATGGCGATTCCTAAGGACTCACAGATGGCATATTTCTGTTTGTCACTTTCTGGTTAGGCTCTCTTGTGGCAACTCACCAGGCAGTCCTTTCACAAAGCTTTTCCTCACTCTTTTGAGATACTAGAGAGCAAAGATCATGTGATAGCAGAGGACCTTGATCTCATCCGCCAACAACCCCAAGAGTTTCTTAGGCAATTCAACCAGCGGTTCTAGACGTATATCTGAAAATGCAAGGATAAGGGTGTTGATGCAATTACAGTTGCATCCTGATCTGGCTCGGAAAGTACGTCGCAAGGAAGTACGATGGTGGAGGCTGCAATATTGGAGGAAACTCAGGGGCAGAAGTACTTGATTGAGATGGGATCATCTTCCTCTACCTTTGCATTTTCAGTGCAGCAGAAATCGACATCATCATTGGAAACCTGCATGCAAGACATCACAAGGATAATGGCCACTATTCTCACTACCATCAACAAAGGCAAGAGAAGTTGTTAGCTCGATTGGTATCACCATCATTTGGACAGGAACACATTGAACACAGTCTTGGACCCAGCCACAAAAATGTCCATGCAGATGGTGGATAGCTCGTCTCCAGAATTTTTTCCAGCTTATCAGGTGAACAGTTACTCAGGACCAAGCACCCTACCAATACAAAACAAAAGATGGCAAAAAAGACAAAAAAAAGAAAAGAAGCAAGCACAAACTAAACAAGGAAAGGGTTTTACTTTGAACTAAAAGATTGAATAGAGCCTGAAAAAATGTTGCAATTGGACATAAACCATTCTAGGGGTGAGACCTTTGCAATAGCAAACTACTTTTTACATGTTTGACATGTCCATTAACCAAACACTCTTAGAATCAGTATCAACTTTTTGCATCAAAAGGACAATCATGCACTTTGTGATTTGTATCACCACAACCAAAACATATGTTATATATCACTACCACCCTTCTTTTGTTTACACAAGGTTTCTTCTTATCCCTTTCTCATGTGCCTTAGATTTTAAGGTAGGTTTTCTTCTCTCCACTGATAATTTACAATTTTTTCAGGCCAATCCGTGAATTGAGACATCAAAATACTGTAACTACCCAGCTTCCCTCTTCTCATCATATTGTAAAGTAAACTCACAAAAACTTGTTCTTGACTTTCTCCCATATATACTTGTTTTGCATTTGCATTCACCAAGTGTTGGCATCCCCTAGAAAGCCATAGTAAATCTCCCTTGAGCTCTCTCTTAAACAATTGTTCTATCTTCAAGCATCCAAATTTAATCAAAGGCACACTAGATCCAAAGTTGCTACCTGCCCTCCCTTGCTTCGAGCTTCTAAGTCTTCATGCAAATCTGTTAATCTCCTTTTATATTACAGATATCATGATGAACACAATTGAACTCTTTGAGATACATAAACCATGTTATCATTTTCACATAGTCATCATCCCATGCTTCAGCAACCATTGCAAACCCTCCTGTTTAATATAAATCATTGTTAAACTTCGTATTCAAAATATTAAACACAAAAATCTATCATCATTGCTTTGGTCGCCCATAGAAACATTCGCCCCAATAGAAGGCCAAACATCGTATGAACGTGGATGTGGATGCAGTTCATTGATGATATTCACGTTCGCATTTTAGGATCATAGCACTTCCTGCAGCTCAAACCAGGTTACAGTTAGGTTACACTTCAAATGCTCTGACTTGAATGGGACAGGCTTGGACTTGCCTATGGACCGCTCAGATTCCTGGGCCTAGTATCACTCTAGATTGCTGCTGGGAGAAAATACCTTGGGGAACTGCTCTTAAGTCTTGACAGTCAGATTGGGAAAATCCACTCGCTACTAAGATTCATTGTAGCGGGACGCCAGAATTACAAACAGGTTACCACCTCTATGTGCGAAATTGAAAAGAACTTCACAGGATGGGCCTCTTGCTTTTGACACAAGAACGAAACAAACAACTGATCATCTTTGTCCACAATAGCGCTCCATGTGATATTGCCTGGACCTAGTAAGTACTTAATGGATGCTAAGCCTTACCTTGGTTGAAGTTGGGAAGAAACACCTCATTGAGTGACAGCAGCTGAATGCCACGCACTGCCCAGCATTTGATGGGTCTTACATAAAAGAGTAAATGCTAAATAATCCTATCTGTAGCAAGGGTAAATTTGGTGTTAAAACTGATGCAATGCCATGCCAAAGGAAAAGCATGTGGGATTTTTTATCTTCCACAAAAAAGGAGCACAATAAATCTAGTTTATCTGGATTGGAAATGATCTCAAAATGTGTCACTTCCAAACTTAAAAGGAAATGTAAGAAATTGTGGCTTTCAAACTCTCAAATAATTGGTAAGAGTGTTGGATAAGGACGTAAGGAAGACAACAAGGTGCATGCAAATTTTCAACCCAGGACGGTCAAGGAAGGTTCATCTAAACCTTCTTTGCATCATCATAGCAGTGAGCCAAGCGAAAGAGTGGAAAAAAAACAAGTCAATGCTTATAACGAGTTCAGCTCCGCCAAATGAGGATCTGTTTCTAGTTTAACTTGATGTTTTTGATCGTCGATCGACTCTTTGTTGTTTACAAGGGCGAAGAATGGTGGTGGCGGCAGCAAGGGTGGCGATGGTATTCTTGGTGCTTGTCGCGGCGCAAGCATGCCGCCCTGATTACTGCTCTCTCCGCCAGGCGCGCGGCTGCGGGACCGCCTCCAACGGCACGGTTGAGGTCGAGCACGCTATGAGCGCACACAAGTGCTTCATAGCTGCTGCCTCCCGCACTCGTATCTCATCCTTTTGGAGATGCCGGGCGTGAGCGATGTCAAGGTGGAGGTCTCGGGCTCTCAATTCCGTCGACTCGTGACCATCGTTGGGATCTCTCACGAGGCGAAAGAGCGTCGCATCCTCCTTCACCAAGATGTTTGCGCGAGAGTTTGTGCTCCCCGATGCAGTGGACGCGGAAAGGATAAGCTACCGGCTTGACAGTAGTCTCTTGCGGGTGACGCTGCCGCTTGTCCCAGGGCTGGAGCAAACAGGGCGAGAGCAGCGACAACAAGTTGTGGAGGAGGAGTACCTTTCGGTGCCTGCCGCGCGTGTTCCTCCGGCCTCGTGCACCGTTTCAGACGCGGCCGGGCTCTTTCGGCCTGAAGCTCTCGCCTCCAACGACGCAGATGATTGTGGTGACGACTTCGTCACCGTCTCCCCCTTGGTGGACATCTTGGATCATCCAGGCTCGTACGTGGTCGTCGCGTATTACTATACACATACACAGGCGTCGTTTGATACCATATGAAAAGAAATGATACCTTTATACCTTGATCAAATGGCACTATTACTTTTGCCAGCTTTTCCTATGGTAGAGGGTCTTGTGAGCTTCTTTGTAGTACTTCCTCGTCCTTGATACGAGCAGTGACGTACAAACGCAGCCCAAGAGGCAGACTCCAGCGAGCACGAGAAAGGTGAGCCTGAAACATGCTGGACCGTGGCAAGAATTTGGCGGAGAATGGATCGAGCTACCATGGATAAGGCTTTGTTGCCTCTGCGCTTCCCTGTCATAGAAGTAGCCCGCCACTCTCACTGAGAGAATGTAAGCTCCCAGTGGGCTTGCCACGGCGATGGTGTTGAAGAGCGTCCCAAACTCTTTCATGCCGAAGATCTCCGACACTGTTGCTGGCATGAGCGACCACTGCGAGCCGTAGCACAGCCCAACGACGAGAGTTCCCACGTACAAAGCACCCGGGAACGCTGCCGCCAGTACAAGGTGCCCGGCTGCCATGACTCCCAGAGTGATCGAGTTGAAAGCCGGCCTTGGAACACCTCTCGCCCTGAGGAAGAAGTCCGAGAGTGCTCCAGCTCCAAACCGGCCCAGGAAGTTCCAGATGCTAACCAGCGACACCACCACTGCTATGTTATGTGTGGAGTAGCCCAGTGAGGATCCAAGCTGGTTCACGTTGTCGATCACTGTGGCTCCCGATCCCATCCCACAGGCCATTGCTGTGACCAGTAGCCAAAACTCGAGCGATGCAAAAGCCTGTGAGAGTGTAAAGTCTTGGCTGCGAAGAACTAAAGTTCCTCTTTTCTCGTTCTCGGGCTTTTCCTGAAAGTTGGCGCCGCTGCTAGATTCTCCAAGGAGTATCGCGACGGTCTCTTGTCCCTGTTCTTTGGAATCCACCGTCTTTGTGAGCCTGCTTGCCTTGAATGCCACCAGTAGTGGCGATGCGAGCGCTAGAAGCAGTAGAACGCACAGCAAAATCCTCGCGACTCGGCCCACTGGAGTGAGAAGCGTGAGAGGAATGAGACCAAACGCGAGTGCCACGATGATCCCAGAGATCCTGGAGATGTTCGTGTTCTCGTGTGGATCATGCGTGATGGTCGACGGTGCCACTGGTCTAATGAAAAGCATAAGCAAAACACATACCACTGTCGGGACTACCGCCGCAAAGAGCGTGTAGTGAATCTGGGTGCCACCATCTTCCCCGCATAGCGATCGATAGAAGAAAGTTAGAATGGCTCCACTCAATCCCAAGCATCCCTGGAGCAAGCATTTAGAACTAGAACTATGAGTAGCTTTGATGGAGCTTTGATCAAATGGAACTTACTTTCATCAAGCCAATCACAGTGCCACGACTTGTGGGGAAATTCGTCACAGATGTCACGACCACGGCGGTGTTGGAATACGTCTGCGAATTCGCAGCGACGAGCATGAAGGCGCACATCTGCCAGAGCTGGACGCCCCGGATCCTGTGCGTTCCAGCGAGCCAGATCATGAAATAGCCCAGAAAACCTTGGCCCGCCCCCAGCGCCAGGATAATCCACGGCGGCAGCGCCAGCGAGAGCAGCAATCCTGTGTGAATCCCCACATTGGCGCCGATCCCCTTGAAGAACCCTAGCGTGTCGAGCTGCGATTGATCGAATCCCAGCTCGCGCTTGAGGCTCTCCGAGTACAATCCAAAGACGTAGGTGGATCCCATCGTGATCTGGATCCAAATGCCCGCCACTAGCATCAGCCAGCGGCTCCTCAGCAGATCCACCATCGCTTGGATCAAACCCTAGCTCCTGGCGCCAGTAGAGACAGTTTGAAAATAAAGTTTATTTGCTTTTCGGGAGATCTCCCAAGGTCTTGTAGAACTGGCCATCGTAGAAGACTGGCATTTGCGAGAATCCCACGTCCTTGCGATCCATGAAGAATCTCCCGTGAGGAAGTGGTTCTTCCGGAGTTCCCGGAGGAAGCAAAGCGATCCACACCGCGGTGTCGGCTCCAATCTCGACCGAGTGACCCTTGAATCCCGACATGGCCGTGCTGGTCGAGCCGGGACACATCGAGTTGAAGAAGATCTCCTTCTCCCTCGCGAGCTTCTCCGCGATGATCCTCGCGTAGGCGTTGAGAGCGATCTTGGAGAGGGAGTAGCCGGCGAGTATCTCTGGTGGCGCTAGCGGGATCTCCTCGCCCATGCACGGCCAGCCGCGGGCTTTGATCTCTTTGGCTTCCACTGCTCGGAAGAACTCCTGGATCATCTCGTCGATCGAGCTGGGCGTGAGAGTGGCGATATCTTCCAGCTTTGCATTCCATTCGTTCTTTAGATACTGCGGTGGAAAAATCATAAGAATCTCCAAGGTTTCTCATCGATATTCGCGAGGAACTTACTGAGAAATCACCAACTTTGGAGCTGACGTTAACGATTCGAGCTCCAGGTTTGAGAAGAGGGACCATAGCCTCGATCACTCTCTTCGTGCCGTAGTAATTCGTTTCCACCACGTACTTCGCTTGCTCCAAGTCCGGCACTCCAATTGAGTTCACGCCGGCATTGTTAATCTGGAAGAACACCAAGGAAGAAAACAAAGAACTATCTGCTGGACGGCTAGAGAAATAGTGAAATTCGAGCTCTAGCTCTCTACTCACAAGAATTTCGATGCGACCGTAGGAGCGAGAGACCCAATCCGCCAGCGCGTCGACCGAATCGGGGCTAGTGATGTCGAGCTGGTGATACACGAGCCTTTCTCGATCGATGCCCTCTTCCAGCAGCGATTCGATAGCCTTCCTGCCGCTGGATTCGTCTCTAGACGTGAGTATCGTCGTCAATCCTCGCCTGGCGAGCTCGCGCGCCAACTGCAAGCCAATACCCTTGTTCGCGCCGGTGACGAGCGCGATTGTGTCCTTGGACCACCACATTCTGGAAAGAAACACGAGAAGGATCCATCGATTGCTTGGAAACGATGGCGCGAGCTTGAGATTACCTCTCTGGATTGCCCGTCGACACCATAGCTGCCAGCGCTGAGTGGCGACAAAAACCTAAACGAAAGAACGTGTGGTCTAGTTTTGCGTTTCGATTCCCGCCAAACCCCAGATTTTAGGGCGAGGGTTTTCGATGGTGGAGCGCGAAGGCGGCAGCTAAGATCCGAGGTTTGTGCCGATCGAGGGCAACGATTTCGAGCGGAGCTTTGTGATCGGCGATGCGATGCAGTCTATGGAGGAAGGCGAGGCATCCGGCAAGGTTTCCATGGCCGCATTGTCGGCTACGTTCACCCGGCTTAAGAAGCAAGTGGCATTCGAGCGACAAGCTTATGTCAAGGTACTGTTTTCCTCCTCTTTGGAGATTTCTCAAGCGCTAGAGCTGATTTCTTCGCGGATTTTCTAGGCAAGGATGGATGCAAACTCGGAGAGATTGCAAGGATTTTGTACGCACTTACTGGCGCTGTCCAGCTCCCGCGCTGTGAATAACAGGAATCACGCCGACAACGATATGCTCAACACACGGATCCAAAAGGCGCTCAACAAGCTTGGGACTGATCCAGCAGCCGCGGATCAGCAGTGTGGCTCGCAAGATGACTCCTCGGCTCCTATTCTTTTCAACAATTCCGGTGGGAAGAGCATTGTGAAGCCCGTCAGGCTGCAAACCGTGCAAAAGACGCCGCCATATACAACTTGGATCTTCTTGGACAGGTAGAGAAACAAAGATGCGGGTGCTAGTTCACTGACCTTTTGTTTTCCAGGAATCAGCGGATGGCCGAAGATCAATCCGTCGTTGGTCGAAGAAGGATCTATTATGACTCTGCTGAAAATGAAGCGTTGATATGCAGTGACAGTGAGGAAGAACAAGTCGAGGAGGAAGAAGAGAAACGTGACTTTAGCAAAGGTGACGATTTTCTCATCAGGTTCGTAGTACTGATTCTAATTTTTTTTTTCTTTACTTATTGAATGCCTGTAGAGCCACTGTCCAAGAACATGGATCGAGTAAAATGGTGTTCAAGGCGCTAGCTGACTGTCTTGATGCAAAACCGAGCGAGATAGAGGTACGGGCCTTGCCTGATGGGCTGCTTGATTTTTTTAAGAGGAAAAACAGATAGGAAACGTGGATATGCATATTCATGTTATGCTCTTTACAGAATTATGAATCAAACTCAAACGTCTGCTACAGGCACGGTATGAAATACTAGCGAAGGACGGGGACAAACTCAAAAGCGAGGAAAAGCATGATCTTCTATCTGCAATGGACTCCTTCGATAATCTTTTCTGTCGACGTTGTTTGGTAAGCTGGGACGCTCTTTCTATTCTCATACTAAACTTCCCGCATTATTAAAGGTGTTCGACTGTCGGCTTCATGGTTGCTCGCAGCCGGTGATAATTCCTGTAAGCTTGCCGGTCATGTGCTTGATGAGCTACTGATTGAAATGGAAGCTTGCAGTTCGATAAGCAGACTCCACTTAACAAGACGGGGGAACTGCCGTCAGTACCATGCGGTCCCTGCTGTTTCCATTTGGTATGATATCCTATGACGCCATTTCATCATAGTTCTTACGCCGCCTTGGCAGCCACGCCTTTCAAGCCACCACGATGCCACTTCTTCAGGCGTAGAGTCCAAACCCGTTCCTGTAGAAAGCACAGCACCTGCTATTGAGAAGAGCTGGCAAGTTCCGGATTCCAAAGACAAGGGCGTCGCTACGGAACCAGTCGCCAAAACTGTGGACAAGCCTCCTGAGGCTCCTAAGAAGAGCTTCAAAGATAAAAGTGTGACCGCTCTCAGAAGGTTGCTACTAAAGAGGAAAGCGACGAGACATACAGACGATGACACAAATGAGGCGCGTAAGAAACACCATGTGGAAGGATCGCATGCTGAGGTGGGAGATGGCAGTGGCAATGCGACTCGCGGCGAGAATACTGGGGCCAGCATGTACTTGAAAAAACTGGTTAGCAAGAAGCTTTACGCTCAGAGAAAATGGAAAGGAAGCCAGATCACCACTGTGAAGCGGCCGCCACCTGTAATCAAGGAATCAGAGGATGTGATGCAGAGCATATCCAAGAACCTTACGCTATATGACAGTAACTGGAACACTTTGGAGAAGGACCTTTACGAAACAGGGCTGCAAATCTTTGGTAGAGACAGGTACGGAAAATCCTGCCTGTTTATCAGTTCACTGAAAGCTTTTGTGTGATTTTTATCAGCTGTCTTATTTCAAGGAATTTGCTAAGGGGAATGAAGAGCTGTGCCGAGGTTGGGGAATTCATGCAGCTTGAGGCAGCCGTGAACTGGAAGCTGAATGAAGAAACAAAGCTCCAACAGGATGGAAACACAGTCATTGAGGATGCGACGGTAAGGCTCCACAGTTTTTTGACTCCTCTTAAAACCATCTTTTGTAGGAGATTGACCGTTCGCGGTCCAGGTTGTACAACGGACGCAGGAGGGGACGTGTACGTAGGCTAAAGTACACATGGAAATCCGTGGGCTATCCAGCTATCAGGAAAAGACTCGTGGATGGGAAGGATGGCTGTAGACAATACACACCCTGCTCTTGCTCGGAGTCGTGCGGAAAGCAGTGTTCTTGCCATCGAAATGGGACGTGCTGCGAGAAATATTGCGGGTACGTGTTATGCTACATTTGCTTAAAGCGACGTTTTTGTCTTATCAGGTGCTCCAAGAACTGCAAAAACCGCTTCAGGGGCTGCCATTGCGCTAAAAGCCAGTGTTCCAGTCGGCAATGCCCGTGTTTTGCAGCTGGACGGGAATGTGATCCTGATGTCTGTAGAAATTGCTGGATTGGGTATGCAACGGTGTACAATTGCAAAGCTCGTGTGCTGATGTGATTTTCCTCTTTTGTGCCTTTGTTTCAGGTGCGGGGATGGATCGCAAGGCGGACCACCGGCACGGGGTGACAGCTACGAATGTCGAAACATGAAACTTCTTCTAAAGCAACAACAGCGGGTAAAATCTCTTCTTTCAAACATTCCTTTAGCTTTTCTTAAACAAACTTGTGCAGGTTTTACTTGGAAGATCTGATGTCGCTGGCTGGGGTGCATTTTTAAAGGTAATAGTATGTTGCTCTTACAGAAAGAAGTAGCTATTAGCTTCCTTGTCTTCTAGACGCCGGTAAATAAGCATGACTACCTTGGAGAATACACGGGAGAGCTTATATCACATCGTGAAGCTGACAAGCGTGGCAAGATTTACGACCGCGAGAACTCGTCCTTCTTATTTAATTTGAATGATCAGGTATGGTTTGGTTGATCTGAATTTACATGGTTTCCTTTTTCTACCTGTTCTTTCTCTAGTACGTACTGGATGCCTGCCGCAAGGGTGACAAGCTCAAATTTGCAAATCACTCGCCAAATCCAAACTGCTATGCAAAGGTGAGGTGTTCTCCATAAAGCTGCTGGAAACTCAACATGAATGTGTAGGTGATAATGGTTGCTGGGGATCACAGAGTTGGCATATTTGCAAAGGAACGTATATCAGCCGGTGAGGAACTGTTCTACGACTACAGGTACGAAGCCGATAGAGCTCCTCCGTGGGCTAGAAAACCCGAAGACGGCCAGAAGAATGACGAAGCCGCAAGTGGATCCGGTCGGGCTCAGAAGACAGCCTGAAGCAGGCTGCTAGGTGACAGTTTTGGAGAGTTCTGCTTGGAGTAAACTACGTCCTGAAGTTCAGGAATGAGATTTGATTCATTTGTGAGCAACATAGTGCTAGACGAAGAGCTTCGATCAAGAGAGTCATGAACGTCGAGATCCTGTAAGTCACCATGTTTGGCTTGTACTCTTTAACTCCC